TGTAGCGCAGTAGTTAGAGGCGCCCTGAAATGCACACGGGATTAATCCCGCACTCCAGGCTCACTATCCACGCCTCCCTCCAGAGTCGGTGAATTGGTACCAGACTTGTCTTGGAGAATAGCAGTACTGACCCGAAATATCCGTAGCCACCAGGAGGCCAGGTATGCATTTGTTCACCTCTAACGATATTTAGTGAAGTCGAATGTATGGAGAATTCCTCAGGAATTGATCAACACCGAGAGCTTTACACCTTTTTTATCGCATTCATCACCAAGGTCGTCCCACTTATAATCTGTCAGTTTCATTTAGCCTGCTGTATTAGACAAATGAATTCTTTTCCTTTTAAAGAGACCCGTATGGCCGTTATTCACGTCTCCGGCTTCTCTTTGAAGATGCTTAAACGTCAGGTCATTTAGCTGTTGAACTATTGTTCAGCCATAGATCACTTCAGTTAAGCAGTTGTTAATTAATTCAGTGAGGTCGGTCCACATAAATTTTGATTATTTAGCAATACGACAGTATTCGAGACAACGATTCTCCACTTATTTTAATTCATTGGCAGTTTCATCGTTAGTTTGAAAAGTACAAACGCAGCGTTGTCTTTCGATAGTCCTTCGCGGTATCGTATTGCTTGCATAGTGCTGAGGTCGTTGGCTCGTAATCCGAGAGGAAAACACGCGTATTGAAAAAGTGAGCCAGTGACCGGATGTCTCCCTTCCTCTTGTTCGTATTATTATCGTTGTTAACCTGTTCCAATCTCCTGTTTCCTTCTACAGGTCTTTTATATATTGTCTCACTTTTGAGCTTAGTATGTGACTATCGAAAGAAGTCTTGATGCATGAAATAACGTGGAAAATGCCTCTTCTCTTGAAAACTAGGATATGTTGTTGGTATAACGTCGATAACTTGAATATAGAGAGACAAGTGAAACGGAGGACCCGCATGGTGTGGTGGTGAACGCGTTAGCACCGGAAGGGGTAACAGTGCGTTCATTCCCCCACAGCAAACACCTGCGGTCTGGAGTTTTGCAAATATCTCAGGATCAATTTTAACTTATTATTTACGGCCTATTCTTTTTAATGGCAGGGTGTATTGCGAAATATAACTTGAAATATAACTTTCAAGATGATGAGATATTTACAAAACACCGGACGGCAGGTGTCTGCGGTGGGGAACGAACGCGTTATTGTCCTTTCCGGGAAAGTAACGCGTTCACCACCACACCATGCGGGTCCTTCGTTTCGTCTGTTTCCCAGCTAGTTCTATCGATCTTTTCAATAGCGAGGACAAGCGCGTTCGTTCCTCACCGCAGACACCTGCGGTCCGGAGTTTTGCAAATATCTCATCATCATTGAAAGTTATCTCAGGATCATTGTGGTTGAGTCACGCATAATACCCTCCCGTGAAAAATTGTAATGGGCAGTAAATAAAAAGTTAACCTTGAGATTAACTTGAATGATGTCAGTCATGAGAACTTGTGACAATGGTTGAAGCAGAGTTCTGTTAAACAGTTTTGTTTTCCCCTTACAAAAACGAGTTTCTTAATCGTATAGTCGTTCGTTTCCTATATCTAAACTGGTCATCGTCTCTATATCTGAATTGCTCGTTCACGTCAAGGGAAAAAACGTTCCGATGTTATTGAAATATTTCAATTCGTGATGTTGTTCTGCTTCCACACATTTTCTCATCACCACCAATGTCATTTCCAAGTCATCTAGTAGATCTGAGGCTCAGGAAATAGTATAACAAATAGAGAAGGTTTTCTTTTGTTTCATTCAACCTTTTTGTGAAGACCACGATAGCGTTCCTCTAGCGGCTAAAATGGAAAAAAGGTTGCTTTTGGAAGTGTATACTGTCGTACACAAGGGAAAAATATGAAGCGTTGGCCAATGAGCACTCCCTTAGGATGTACCATACATCCGACTTCACTGAGCTTCTAACTTCTAGCTACTGAGCTACACGCGCCACCAAATACTGTGCACAGCAGTAATCAGGGCGGGTAGAGCGCAATAGTTAGAGGCGAGCTACAAACACGCATGGTCTTTGGCTCAATCCTGCTCTCTTTGCTAGGCAAATCTCATTACCTTCCGTTTGTTGGAAAACTGGTATCAAACTTGCTCAGAAATTAAAGACTATATATATATATATATATATACTTTTCCAACGACAAACAGGAAATTGATAAGAAACTTTATTCGTCGTTAGAAAAATTGTTGATTAATCATACCAAGGCTAAAGGAAAGTTGGCTTTCGAAATGCTAATTTTATAACAACAATGGTGCTGAGATGTTTGCAAAACTCCGGACCGCTGGAGTCTGCTGTGCGGAACGAACGCACTATTATTCTTTCCGTGGGCTAACGCGCTTACCGCCACACCATGCGTGTCCTTCGTTCCATTTAGAAGGTTAACTTTATGATTTCGACTACAGCCTCAGTTTAGCTGGGTTCATTGCCGATTTGGGCTCACAGATCAATCCCGTTGACCGGTGATTGCTGATGCCACTTTTAGGTAGAAAACTAGCTGAGAGAAAGGAGAAACGAAAGACATGTATGATTTGGCGACGAACACGCTAGCCTCTGGAAAGGGTAAAAACAAGTTCGGTCGCAACTGCAGATACCTGCGGTCCGGAGTTTTGCAAATATATCAGCATCAATGTGGTTCCATTTCACATAACACTCTGTCGTGAAAAGTAGTCGTAAGTAGTAAATAAAAGGTTAATATTGTAATAGCATGTTTATCTATCTGTTTAATGACTCGACTTCATGTATTAAGTGGATAATATTCACAAAGAATGTTCTCTATGCTTTATCTTGCCAAACATTTCCTATAGTGAATGCGTTTTTAAGCCAGCAATGTTTCCTGCTTTCATCAAATCTATTATGTTTCAAATCATTTGACATAAGGTCAACGTGTTTGTCCTGGATCTGTAACTATCCATAACCAGTGGGCAAGGTACTATTGCCTGATGGCATGTCTTTGCGAAACATAACTAGCGCCACGCTATTCGCTCAAATATTGCTCGCACGGTACATCTCTATCTTTCCTTATCTCGTATAGGAGTTTCCAATTGTTGAGGTCTATTCACATAAACGGTATTTGTGTGGACCAATAAGCACTATCTAGTTGAAAACAATATTCTCTATAGTAACTTTACTGTATAAGTCGATAGAGACACGTAACCGATTGTATAGTAAATATTTGCCACAACGCCCGTATGCCCACTGTACATTCACATCCCATCTTACCCGCCATGCACGGCATTAGATACGACAACTGTTAGCCATCAGATATACCACCAGGCATGCTTCCAGGCACGACTCAACTTAGGGACTAGACCTTGCGACCCGTACCTTGACCCTGCGACCCACGCCACTCGCTTTGATCTAGTCATGCCTCTTAGCACGGCCATTTGTCTTCTGACGACTCCTGGAGTTCGCCATTACTCTTTCATCTTCATTTTCCCCTCCCACTTAATGTTCTTCTGCCACCACTCATTTGATTAGGTAGTAATATTGTTACATAAACAATATTTACTGGTCATCTCCTATGTCCTTACAGTGCTGTTGTATATTGCTCTACATCATTGTTAGTGTATTCTGTTTAGTTAGATTACTACCTACTGAACCACCTTGCTTGCAACTTTTTGTACATACATTTCTAGTCTAATTGCGTCATCGTGTAAATATTACGTGTATAAACAGTTTAATTACCCAGGTTTGAGGCATTGGACTCAGCGACTAATGCACAAAAACCCCGCATGGCAGCTACAACGACTTGGTATTGAAGTCCAGGAATCGTCAGAAGACAAATGGTCGTACTAAGAGGCATGACTAGATCCAAGCGAGTGGCGTGGATCGCAGGGTTACGGCACGGGTCGTAAGGTCAACCCCTCAAGCATTCAGTCGTGTTTGGTAGCATGCCTGGTAGTGTGTCTGATGGCTAACGGTTGCCGTATCTAGTGGCGCGCCTGACGGGTAAGATGGTATGTGAATGCACGGCAGGCATGTGTGCGTTGTGGCAAATATTTACTATACAATAGTCACATGCAGTCTCCGTCGACGTATAGAGTAAAGTTACTACAGAGAATATTATTTTCTATTAGATAATGTTTATTGGTCGACTTGTCGTCATGTCGCATGCTACTACCTTACTTCTGTCCACTGAACCATTTTTTTGTGTAATTCGCAATGTATATATTTTGAATTGCATTCCGTAATTTCGGTTTTAATATTATGTATGTAGAATTTTAATTATCTGAATTTGTGAGCCCCTACATGATGACGACTTAAAGAGAAGCATCTGGTATAACCATCAAAATTCAATCAAGCTTCCCTATAGAGCTCAACAATTACTTTATCCCGTTTGTTACCTGGCATCTATGTTCGGATTTGTGCGTGGGTTCGACTTTTGCGTAAGGACTCTATGTTCTACTCGAATCGCTTAGAATGCTGCCCGAACTATATTTCCTTGGAATCTTGGAATTTCTGTGTTAGAGCGTCCTCAGGATTTTACCACGGGCAGTCGTCGACTGATTCCAAACAGTGGGGAGTTTTTTACACCAGTGCCTTTCTCCTATGAAAGATGGATAAGTGGCTAGGTTCAACATCAATCGCACCAGTCCAGAAGGTCTGACGGGTGGTTTTGCACCGCTTCTCTAAAAACTGCGCTTCATTCGCCTAATAACTTAATAACATCTCTCTATCAACCAGGTTTTCTATTTTTACAGTGTTTACTTCATACTTTGAAGTATGTATCTTTATTTCGTACGCTTTGTTTTTACTTCTTTACGTTCCTTGTTGTCTCGTTGTGGTGCCAAGGAAATTGGAATTTTCCAGAGGCGAAGAAAACATAGTGGCACAGGAGGAAGTTTTTCTCTTGGTTTGTGCCGAGATCTGACTCGTGTTGAATAAACTAATCTGTCCTTCTTTTGAACAAAAGAGAGCAGTTTTACATAATTTATGAATTAAGTGTATTTTAGGTGATACATTGGCTACATAGAATGATTAATAACCTTGGAACGCGACTGTTTAAGTCAGTTACTGACAAAGCTGGCGATCTAGGCGAAAAATTCGAGGAAGAATTCTCTCGGCTCTCGAATAATATTACAGGTAAACTTGGGTGCCAGAGGCGTTCTAGAATGTTTACAAGATAACCATGACTTATAAAAATAAATAAAGCATTATCCATCCTTCCCCTAAACGCTTTACCGCCTCTTCGTGGATAGGAGGTGTTTCCGGCTGCGATATACAACGTGAGGATTCATCCCTCCGGCAGTGTCTTCCAAGCCGAGGAGTCTGGCGTTTTAAACAGAAATCCCAGCTAAGAGTAAGCCAGTACCAGGATCCACTATCGTCCTGGTATCAAACTAGTGCATGGTGGCAAATCTCCTTCTGATCCACAAGATTGACGACTGCCTGTGGTGGTGACTACCTGGACAGACTTTGGCCAATCTGACTTCGGGAATCCAGGGAAACACAGCAGCTAAACCAGATAAACTCCTAATGTGGTGAATATGCTAGTCCTCGCACTACCAGTGAGGACGGGCTGTCCAAGTATCCAAGTAAGTAATTATCAATCATTAAGGTGTGCATCATGCATTCGATTCCCTTAAGCTTCGTAGAGATGCTCACGTGTATATCTGATGTATACGAAGATTTGCGGTGGTCTGCCGATGTATTAAGCCATTGTTTCTATTCTATCTGACAAATTTGGTATCAATTTATTGGCGATATAGGGGTGGAAGCCCTGGTCAGTCTAGCGTGTGGTTACCAGCGACTGAACTAGTGTGTATTGGAGTGCATCTCTAACTACTGCACTACACACTCCCTAACACGTGTCTGCATTTATTTTTAAATGGCCCATATTCGTGGAACGCTGATGTTAGGGAGCGAATGCTTTGAAAATTCACCGATATTCATTGGTTTTGCGCCCTTACAACAATTACCTACGTCAGAACCCTACATAATCACATCCATGATGAATGACTTGTTCTGATGAAGGTTAAATGATTTTTCTATCAACAAGATGGAGTCTAATTGTTATCGAAAACTACCCAAATATGAGGAAATAATGAAATGACCACGAATAGCGCAATGGTCAGAGTCACGCAAGGTCGTTAGTTAGATCTCACTCCCCGAACAAAGCACGACTCACAACCTTTCATCGTCAGTAGTTAGGTGCCAGGGTTGAGCAGGATAATAGAAACATTGGCGTAATACATTAGTAGCCCATCATTAGTCATTATATTGGCCACATATGTATTCAATCAACCCAGCGATGCTTAGTGAAGACGAATGCGCATGGTGTTTCCCTCAGTGTTTGACCGACTGCCAACGAATTATCCCCTATCTCTCGATGAAATCCCCGTTTTTCATCAATATAAACTTGTCGGTCTCATTCTATTTCGTGGGAGTAGATTGATTTCAGCTGAAGTCGACGCCATCGTCTCTGAGGCGATTTCTCTCTCCGGCTTCATCAAAGTAACGCTAGTGATTCTATGTGTTCTACTAGTGAGTGCAATTACGGTGGATCATATCGATTTTACGCGTTTCATCAGTATCAATTTAAGGTGCTCGGCATCATTCGACTGAGTGCTTTCGGTTTTCGGTGTCTGGTATTCAAGGCAAAGGATTGGCTTCGAGCTAACGAAAACAGGCCACCTCCACAGGTAGATGTTGAATGTCGCTTTATGAACATATATGGCGGGTCATCTCTACTCTTCGCTTATTAAGGCTTCAAAAATTTAGCACTGTCGAGCAATATTGTTATTTTATTGTGAAGCGTAATAGAGTAGCGCACTTTGGTCTATTAGTAGTCTACGAAACTGTTCTTGAATTGCGGAAGAGGTGGTGAAGAACTGCGTCTCTCCTAGAATTACTTAAAATGGTTCTGTTACATTCTTGTATTCGTGTCCTCTCACCTACTTGAAGCAATTTAGAAACACCTAGTAGAATAAGACATATCTAACTAGCACCTGGAACTGTATAATTTGGTTGCATTTTTAGCGATGAAGCGAATAAGTAGAATTTTTTAGAAACCCCTCTAAGAATTAAGCGTTAAATAACAGCCTCTGTCACGGATTAAACAAACAGAAAACCAGTAAATGACATTCTTTTTCGATCAGGTCATCTTACTAATGCCAATCGGTAACGGTAAATATCGTCCTACAGCTACGATTTACGCAGATCCACAGACGAAATCCATTATCGACCGTATCCAGCGCGACTCTTTTGAGCTCTTCAATGAAAGCGATGAACCGACACCGATAGTACCACGAATGAAGCCGCCGAAGCTTAATGAATTGCGAGCCATATCGTGACTATCGTTATGTTTGTCAGTGAACTTTTTTTGGGTCGCTATAAATGTTTCATTCTTAGCATTTTTTTTCACAACTACTGTTTTGTATATATTATTACTTCGTATTTTTGTTGAGCAAACGCGAGGTGTTACTATTCTTTATTCACGAATAAGCTGACGTTTCGGCGGACTTCGCCTTCCACAGAGCCTGGAAAGGTCAAGTTGATAGCAAACTATTCTGCCAGACGCCTCCATAACCCAACCAAAGAAACTCTAAACCAAGATTTCAATCACATAACACATTTGCACACTCACCGCTTTCTATGAGGTTTCCACTAAGTATGTCACGTAGAGACCAACCGCACAGAAATCACATGGAAGCATAATGTGTCCCTCCCATCAGAACAGCACTCGTATATACTGCCCTATATCACGCGTGATAATGAGGCATTCTTCCCTGCGGTTCATTTCCGGATTTCTGGAATTAATACAGAATGACTCGAAAGACCGACTTTCTATGAACCTCGGCATAGCTAGTTGATATATTTATTTATGTGATCTTATAAACTGATCTTCTTAAGCTGACGCGAGTCCCGCACGTAACATCACGATTCTGAGGAAGCCGAAGTCGCCGAAACGTCAGCCATCGTTCAATAACATCAAAAACAACGACAACGAAGATCTGTACCAACCTCGCGTCAGCTTAAGAAGATCAGTTCATAAGATCACATAAATAAATAATCCAGAATGCCTCGAGAGTTTTTCGCTTCTGTGTTCTTGATTCGCGTGCGAGGATCGTGACACATACTTCAAAGTCCTCCCCGTTATGTCTCTGAGTCCTATGCGTGCCTAGCGAGGTATTTGGTCTATTTTTGCCGGCTAGGTGTTCTTTCGTGCGGACACAGAGGGGTCCACCCGTTTCGCCAATGTATTCGTCACCACACGTCTTACAGGAGATCAGATAAACTATACCCGAGCCGATTCAATCACCGTCTCTACCACTGGGGCAAATTATGCAATTCTAGTTGCACATAGACGGTCATACAGGCGTTTACGAACCAGCTGGCGCTTAAGATTACTCGGTGGTATTTCAACTACGCTTACCGAATTCTCTAAACCCGCCCTTCTTAAGCAGCGTTTTATAGCTGTACTTATATCATTTGAGATGAAGGGTAGGATAAACGGGACCCTTCTATCGCTAGAGTTGTTTGGAAGCCTAGGATTTCCTCTACACTTCTGAGCTACAGTTTCGTAGCCATTAGAAATGGCTATTTGCCGCGCCAAGTTCCGGGACTCCTCTCTCTGCTCTCTTCCCGTGCACACGTTGGTTGCTGTTCGAAACATGTTTCTTATAAGCGCCCTTTTCTTGTGAGAGGGGTGAGAGGAGAGGTAATGAACCAAGATGTTTTTACTACTTGGTTTTCGGTATCACTTTGTAAAGTAGCCATTTTCTGATAGGTGAATTTCTACGTTTAAAAATGGAAGCCATTTTTCTTTCGGTTTTTCTTGGGTGAACTTGATATACTCTGACTGTGCGTTTAACAATTCGAAACATTTGTCCATTTCCTCTTGTGTTAAGCAAAGGACAAAGCAGTCGTCTACATACCTACAGTAGAGTAGCGGCCCGAGATCAGTCACCGGTGCTTCCACTTTAGACATAAATGCAATGGCAAGGCTTGGAGCCAGTCGTTGTCCCATTGCCAACCTTCTTATTTGAGCGTAGTACTTTCCGGACCATCTGAAGATTGAGCAGTTCAAGCATTCTTTTAAGAGTGCCATCAGGTGCTCTATCTTGAAGCCATACATGTTTATTTCTCCTTCATGTTGTGTAAGGAGTTCGAATATGGCTTGCATTGCGGAGTCATTCGACACGTTTGTATAAAGGGCGGTAAAGTCGAAGGACTCCATCACGTACGCGGTGTTGGGCTGCGCAGTACGTAGACGATCCAGAAACGTCTGGCTGACGGGCTGGAATGTGTTTCAACAACTGGTTAAATATTAGGGTTAAAAACCATGTTATCTTGTCCGTTGGCCCGTCTACACAGCTAATGATAGGTCTAACCTTAAATAGTGATGGATCGGTAGACGCAAGATCATCGCTGGATACTAACTTATGAGGTTTTATAAGTAAGTAAGTAAGTTAAGCAGAAAACATTAACTTATTTATCAGCGAAAACTAGTTATGGCTGGTTAATAGAAAATCGCTCCTGGTAAGTACTGCAGTGTGTACATCTACGTAAGGCCTTTCACAGCAGCTTGGAATTTTTTTCTCCGGTGGTGACTTCTTGGGACCATCAAAGGAAGATCAATACCTGTATTTTGTATTTTTACGTATAATGCTTTGGTTATGGACATGGTCGTCATCGTTCATTACCTAATTTTTCTGCTTCGCATGCTATGTCACATCTGGTCCATTACGGTGTCTACGTGTTGTTCTAATGTGTATCGTATTCGTACACCTCATTTCACTGTCTTACTTCGATTAATCCTTTCATTGATGTATTAAACTGTCCAACTGTCCATAAGAGGCAATATTTATTTCAGTCGTTAGCTTATGCCTAACATTTGTTCTTAGTGATTGTTTTTATTAGTGGTAAAACTTCCACAATTTCAATTTCATCACTGTACTATGGATGCCGTACAGTCTCTCTCTATGTTTTCATGTCGATCTATTCGGTTTTAGAAGAGAAAAAATCTATTGTTAGACATGAGATTCGATTAGAAGCCTGCAGTCAAATGACCCGGAGCATATGAGAAGTTCTCGATTTACCTCCACTGAATGTCCTCTGGAAAAACCCTGCGTGCTCTGCAAACATATCCAGCGGAGGGCTTGGTATATCAAATGTGTTTACGGCTTGGAAATAGTAGAAAGCATAGAAACAAGTGATTTCATGCTCACAATCCTGAAATGGTAGCCACGCCAGAGATTGGCATCCGAGAGGGCGCCGGAACCTCAGGGCTGCTTCAGTTATAGATCTGGGTTAAATTTGGAAGCGCTGTGGTTACGACTAGTATTTACAACGCTGGCATCGAAGGCCTTTTTTCGGATTCCATACGGTTAATAGCATCATGAACGACACTTGAGTATAGAACGAGACCATAAAATACCACTTGCCACACTTCGTTCATGAACCAACAAGACCTCGGTCATGAAGACCTGTTCACTTGTACAACTAGTGAAGTGAATAGAACATGTTGGACTGAAAACAACTGAATCAATCCAGCAAGGTGGTTTTTTCTTGAGAACATCATACCTATAATACCATCAAACTTTTCTACCAGATCATTTGGGAAGCAAAACAATATAGATAGTTAACGTTTTCTAATTCTATAATTATGTCTTCGATTCTTTTTACAATTTCTTCTAATCTTGTTGGTTTTTCATTTGCTATTTCCCGTTTATCAAACCAATTTCACCTCGAAAGTTCAAATGAAGCTATGCAAGAAAATGAGCAGCTAAACATACGAATAGGATCTTGCGAGATTTTACAGCAGTTAAGCGGACGGTGTAAAAATGACTTCAGAGATCTCCAGTTAGAGATGGTCCAGGCAAACATTGGAAATGAAAACAAGGAATGATGAACTCGCTGTGTGGATTAAAATGCTTCAAAAAAACCGCGAAAAACATGGTTTAGTAAACTTTGGAATAAACTCCCTCCCTCAAACTGTTGAGAAAAGTCGGAAATTCTGTGATATAAGGGAGTAAGTGGGCGCGTTTTCTGTATCTGTATGTATCTTCCACAGTCCTATTAATCATCTGGTAACTGAAGCAGGTATCCGTAAAGTCAGTGGATCCTGCGCTGGTTATCGGACTGAAGTTGCTCGAGGAAAAAGAAGGCTTATTGTAATCTCCGCATATTGCCCTCTTCCAACCATTTCTGATGAAAGGATATCCAAACTGTGCGGGTGAGCGAACACTTTACTTTAATTAGTAAGGCTCTAAAAATGATGATGTCTGATACCGCTCAAATTTCACTTGCGGTAAAGAAAAATTCCAATCCTGGCGCAATGTAATCAATAACCCGAGACAGTGATCATATGCAGTTGAGCTACTAACCTCTGTAGGGGTATAGGCTCATTCTTACCTCTTCAGAGCAGAACGAGCTTTTTCCGAAGCCATGTAACGCTATTGTGTGATGAGACCTTATCGCACATTGCAAATTTGACACTTGCAATACTGTCGTCAAAGGCGTATAATGATGTGATACCGTTCTGAAAGTGTTCATATGCTGTAGAATATAAAGAGCCCATAACGTAGAAAAATGTCTTGTTGTAACGACGTCCACATCAAATAAATTTATTTTCATCCGATTCCGTGGGGAGCGCGTAGCTTAGTGGTTAGAGATACACTGCAATGCACATGTTTTCGATCCCACGCCCCAGGCTCACTTAGTCTTCCATCTCTCTGCGGTTAGCAAATCGGTACCAGACTCGTCTAGGAGGATAGCACCACTGGCTCGACACATCGGTAGGCAAGTGCGGGCCAGATATGCATCAAATCGTCTTTGACGATGCTTAGTGAAGTTGAATGCATGACGACCGCTCATGGATTGATCAACACCAAGAGATTTGGAGCTTTCTTTTATCTGACTGTGTTTGTCGAAGGATAGTTTGTCAGTTCCGTCATCTTTTTCTAAGTCACATATTCTCGTTGACGTTTTTCGTTCCTCGGTTGTTACCATCCTTTCTTATTGCTCGGCAGTTATTAGCTTCTCTACGTCTGCACCTTGTTAACACTTTAAATTCAGAGTGAACTATTTAGTAGGCGTGTGTCGAATCCTCCCCTCCTGGCCGAACTAACGGAATTGACTGAGTATTTCAAAAGACCAATTTTCCATTAACCTGAGAATGGTTGACCAGCATGCACTAATTCAGTTTCCTTTCTGAAACATTGCTACGCTCTGGGCTAGTGGATAATGATGCTGACTGCTGCAGGATGAATTATCCGAAGAAAAATAAACGATTATCAACGAAGAGTCATCACCAACAACCGTTTTGCCTAAAAGGGCATCGCCGAGTGAGATTCATTTCCGACCTTGTATAAACTTTGGCATTGTGATTGATATATCTATGTATACGCCTCTACGAACCACCTATATTTAATTGACGCGAGGTTGGTATAAATCTTCTTATCGTTGTTGTTGTTGTCGTCGTTGTTGAATGGCTGACGTTTCGGCGACTTCACCTTTCTCAGAGCCTGAACGTACCATATGTAACGGTAGCCCTATAATTCGGCGAACTCCATAGAATTAATGAAGATCCAACACATTAATAGACGCCAATTTTCAAAAACTACACACCGTGCTGTCGGACCACCGCTTGTTGTTCACGAAGGATGATGCGTGAGACCCACCCATGGGGATGTGCGTCAAAAAATCATTCTGAAATAAGGTACCACATCACTTGTGATAGTAAGAAAGGCATTCGCCTTTCTACTTTATTTTCGGGCTTTTGAAATTTATCCAAAACGCCTCAAGAGTCTTCCGCGTTGATGTTTTAGATTCCAGTGCTAGGATCCGGTGATTCACTTCAAAATCATCACCATTGTGCTCTTGTGCCTTATGTGCACCCAGTGGAGTAAAGCGTCGAATTTCAGCTTTTCCATCTAGATGTTCTTTTATGCCTTTCTTTCTTTTATGGACACAAAATGGCCTACCCGCTCCTCCTATGTAATCCTTATGCCTTATATAATATATCGAGTATATTGTGTCTAAACTCATGCGATCATCGTCCCTTCCCCTTAGGACAGATTAATCCGTTCCTTTGGACCGTTGATCCAAGTCGATGGTCTGCAGTCGTTCATCCTTTCGTTGCGGTATCTTCGTCGTTGTTTCGAGTCGAATCTTATTCATTGGAGCATCGCCCGAGTGAATGAAACTCACGAACTGCCCTTATTTCGAAACCGACTTTCCTTGAACCTCGGTATCACTAATCAATATGTATTCTTTCTTTGATGAGCTTACACGAGGTTGATAATGATATTTATTTATTTTCGGCTAACGTTTCGACGTCTTCGCCTTCCTCAGAGCCGATGATCCCAGCCGATGGTCCATGCTTGTTGCTCGTCTCGACGTTGCAGCTTCGCCTTCGTGCCGAGTCAGGTCTTCCTCAGTGAGCCATCTTCTCGAATTCGAGCTCTGAGGAAGACGAAGACGTCGAAACGTTAGCCGAAAATAAATAAATATCATTATCAACCTCGTGTAAGCTCATCAAAGAAAGATTACATATCGCCTTTATTTAGTTGACGCGAGGTCGGTATAGATCTTCATAGTGTTGTTGTTGTCGTTTTTCAACGGCTGCCCCACAATTCTGTGTACTCCATGCTATGTAGTGTAGGAAAACGAAGATGTCGAAAAGTTCGCCGAATAAACCTTTTTATCAACCTCATGTTGGCTTGTCAGGCTTGTAAGTGAATACATATGGAACCCACTAAAACTGTTCACCTAAGTACAAATCAGATCTGAATACACATATACTAGCATTGAGCTGTTTTTACTGATCACCTACATAAGATATGACCTATTGTCGGTGACCCAAGCGTAAGGTCACCCATTGTCAATAGCCTGTGTGATGACTGAGAACGGGCAACTGGGAACGGCATGTTCGGCGTGTAACATCAGAACTGCTAAAGATAATAATCTAGATCTGAGTGCACATATATAAGCAAAAATGATAACAAGAAACCGCTGCGGTGCAGATTTTTTGCAGCAATTCATTTGACTTCATCGAACATAGTATTAACTGGACGAATATCTGACCCATGCAGTGACCCCAGAGGCCTGCCGATTTATGATTCCAGTGCATTTTATCCTCCCGAACAAATCTGTCTAACACAAAGAGGCGGAAACCTTGATGGTTCAGGACGCAAAATTAAACAAATAGACGAACCAGTATGTATTGCAGTAATCCTCTAACCACTGCGTACGTGCCTCCTCGTTCATTTGAATTCGGGTTCTGAAATAGTGCTCAGAATATCAGAAGGAAAAGTAGGCGGGAACATCAGAATTGTCAAGCAGAGAAAAACAATCGGCCTAGCAATTAAACAAGGGAATAAGGGATAAAAGGATAATGCTCTCGTCGTTGATCAATCGCTGAGGAATGTACCATGGATTCGACTTCATTACGCATCGTTGGAAATGATTGAATGCACACCTGGTCTTTACAATAACTCGCACTGGCGTACAGATGTATCGACTTGGTGCTGCTTTCCTCTCAGACAAGTCTGCCAGCAATGTGCCGAACCAAATGGCCGAAAGCTTTGGCGAGCCTGAAGCCTGAACCGACCCCATGTGTATTGCAGGGCGCCCTCGAACACTGGGCTATACACGTCCTTCAAAACATGAGACCTGTGTATTATCCGTTTCCACTGAAGCAAAATCGACTTTATCGTTTTGCATTTTACGAAGTGCAAAAAAACACTGTTTTTTCCCGCCGCATTCATTTTGTCAGAGGGTGAGAGGTGTATGTGTTTAGAATATGGAGAATAGCGGTACTCGAACAGAAAAAGGAGTAGAACAGGTTCTAGGCACACCCCTATTGTAATGTTCGTATCACACTCGATAACCATGTTATATCGAAGCCTGTCGCCTTTGGTATGTAATTTTGAATACATCCGAATTCGTGGACGTTCTATTCATTTTAAGAATATGCACCTGTTACAGATGAATACTGCAATGTACTACAGCATTCTAAGCGTCTTTATTTTCACGGGTATTATACTCTCCAGTGTATTTTTAATAATTGTAGACGTACTAGATGAAATAGGCGAGTTTCGCTCAATGGTTGATGAGGATCTCAATCAGTTCAAGGTGGATATCAGTTCTAGTCTTTTTTTTATCATAAAAGATGTTTACGAGTGTAGATGTTTTAACATATCGAAGACTTTTGCAGGGCTATGCCGACAACGCTTTGAAGATGATGGTAGAGATGAAACACGTGCACGTACCAAAAACCCACATATTCTATAAGTTTAATATTCCTGTCACGAGAGTAGAAGCACATTCTAGTAATGGTTTCGAAGGCACAGTGGTTGAAGATGGTGACTGTGATAATTCTGCTATGTGCCAATGTGAGGAATGTCGAGTGGGATCGCATGGTTAGTGGAAAACAATTAAGCACTGACATTGCCGCAGTTCCAATAGTAACTGCCGATCTTTAGAACCTCCTGGAGATCCGGAATTACCTGGTGAAGATGGTAAGCCTGCTCAACCACGGCACCCTGGATCACCAGCTAGCGTCAATTCTGAAACGTTTGGAAGAGGATGTGTCATTAACACTGTTGAGCCGTCTTATTCACTTGAATCAAACAGGTCATTAAGACTAGGAGATCCTGCAGGATATTCTGGCATGTGTTGGAGCAGTGGAGGTGTGTATATTGCAAATATTCAGAGCGGTTTTATCAAATACATTTCCATTGAGTAATAAGTTCAGGTGGGCCCGGGCCACCTGAACCAAGTTTATCAGGACTCACTGGCAACATTGGAGCAGGTAGAACAGACGGACAATCAGGTAATAATCTAAGATTATCCAAGGAAACGAAATAGTGGTGGACTTCAAAAAAGCAGAAGTTCAAAGTTTCAAAGCAGTTTCAAATATATTCTACACAATCTTTCACACACGACTTCCTCCAAAGGTTGGCGATTGAGAGCACATTTATAACTACAGGTAAACCCATTTAGACACGCTAAAGTGTAATCACCAAAGATATGTCAACTTAGTTGAACTTTTCGGCTCAGCTGGACAACCAGGCTGGAATAGCACGGTTAAGGAAACCGGTGTACCGATAGTACCACCAGGACTAGCGGACAGTCCTGAAAATCAAGGAGAATTGGAAGGATTTACACAAACTAAGTCAGACGAGGCAGTGAACTTGGATGGTGACCACTGCCCTCATCTGGTCAGAGATGGCTGTTTTGATGGAATTGCTTCTACTGTTAGAAGAGATCATTCAGCTGATTGTGAAAGTAAGAAATCGGGAAACAATAGTGTGTATGTATTTTAAAACTTGCGGCCGTTGTTCACGCCTGTAATAAACATTGTGCACAGCATTTCCGAATAGAAATTAGTAATCCAAAGAGTAATTTGAAGAATGAAAATCTAGATAGCCCAATAGACGCTGACCTTTCGGTCGGTCAATTTCAGTTAACTACACTTACAATGTACGTGTCGAAGCCCTATAAAATCACAAATTACGTTCCCCAATGAACGTTGTTATTTAGGAATCAATAAAATTGATCGGATGGGCAATATTCCTCAGACTTGATGTAACGTCATTGTAAACGTTTCGCACTTTATTTTTTCGACCACAGTTGGCGAACAGGCAGTTCTCACGCCCGTGAACTAGAAGAACCAGATTACCCCTGGTCTATTTAGGGAGGAAATGTCATTTGCCATTTATGAATTAATCTGATCAACATCTACGGAATCACTAAATGGATGCTAAAGCACTTTGCTTTGGTGAACTGATTAAATTGGTAATGTATACCGAAACGTGCGCTTGCTGCTGAATTAGGAGAAACATCACAATAAAGATTATCAAAACGTTTTCTGATCCATACGAAATGATCATCTCGCAGACCTTCTTTCGAATTGTTCACATACCGATGGATTTATTTCTTTCATATCAATTTCGTTGACGAGTATTTGCTGAAGGCAGTGATCGATAGAAAACTAGGTGAGAGAGAGGCGAAGCGAAGTACTCGCATGGTGCAGTGGTGAACGCGTTAGCGCCGGAAAGGGTAATAGCGCGTTCTTTCTCCACTGCAGACACCTACGGTCCGGACTTTTACAAATGACTCAGCACTATTGTGATTATTTCTTTAATAGCTTCAAAATTTCAAAAACCAACCTCTCAAAATAGCTGTGAAGTGAGTGTTTATACAATTTTCGTAAGAAGTTTCTACTGTAGTGATAAAAATCGAAAGTAGGGATTCTTCCATATTTTTTAAAGGTTTTCGAAGTCGGTTTTGAAAAACACTGATTCTCTACTAGATAGCTAATGCATGACCGTTAGCTGCAGGATGCACTACTACAGTGAAAACAGATCCAAAAGGATGGCAAGGGATCAACAGCCGTCCCGTATAAAAGCTCTCCGCTAAATGAGGAAATTTGATTGGAGCGGTACTCCACTCAAGAAGATTCGACTCGACTGTACTACGAAGACGCACGAGTGCGAACAACTGCACCATCGACTCGGATCATCACTGCTCTGAAGGAAAAAGCGTCGAAGTTCAAGGCGAATAAAACTTTATTATCCTAGTGCTATAGCTTGTTAATCTGAAAAAAAAAACGTTAAGAGTCCTTTACACAGCGGTTTTATCTCGGCCACATATTATGTGGCATATTAGTCTTGTGTAAATAGACTTCCGAGTGGTATATAAACACCGATTTTTATGCATTATATGATGCTTCTTTTTTGTTTAGATCAAGTTATATTCTTCGGATTTGTTTCAATGATTATTAAGGAATAATTAGAGCAAAGGTTATTCAAGTGTCACTTTTGTTGCCTCACAAAGTAATTCGCAAAAATGGTCTGGTTCATGCGCTGAATTTCAGTTGGTTCACGTGAATTGTATCTTGTGAGTCTGCTTGCTTTTTTCCTCAGTGACATGTTATTCGCTGATTGAACGTGGTTTCCATCGCATCTCCTAGTCAGCCGTGCTAGAGCGTTTCCAGGTTCCACTGTAGACATCTACTGGAGATTGTTGATCGGAAGGTGAGGTTCCACTTTGAAGTGGAACTGTTTCAAGATGGCACCAGTTATTGCGACAACAATTCTTTCCACTCACTTCGATGATTACAACATTCAGTAGAGGAGTTGCTGGCATCTAGAAATTTCTGAGTCGTTCTGATATCCATTAAATCACGATCTTTCCACGACAATTATTTCGATGCATGCTTCTACTACATTGTAGTACTGTAAAGTGTTTACGAAACAGTTCTGTGTTTTAGACATCCATTAGAAAGCAATGAGCACCACGTGATTTGGAAGTTGTTCTCCGCAAACCCTTCTGAATTATAAAAAACTGCATGAACAAGTTTTATGCTTTTTCTTCCGTTTCCACACTACTTAGGGATGATGCGTACAATTTCTTTTCATCTCTCATTCTAACAAATCGTTAACACTCCCAAGATCTGGCAAGCATTACGAAAAACGAGCACTTACAATATACATATGTCTATACATTTATACATATCAATATGATATATGTATATAAACAAATGGCGCGTATGGCGCAACGGCCGGAGACGCCCTGCAACACACACATGGAATCGATCCCGGCGTCTATGGCCCCCCATGGCCTTCCATCCCTCCGGGGTCGGTAAATTGGTACCAGACTTCTCTGGGAGGATAGCACCACCGGCTCGATACATCGGTAGGTAGGTAGTTCATTCATTGCAAAGGCCAGATATGCAATCAGTCACCTCCAGCGATGCTTAGTGAAATCGAATGCATGACGCATCGATCGATACCAAGAGCTTTTAGCTTTACCTTTATGTACACAAAAAAATAAAATTTCAAGAAAAAATGCGAAATATTCCTTATTCCTTCTGAATATGACTGTCATGATAAGTACAAAAATTTAGAAAAAGCACCATAGTCAGATTCCTCTCACGTAGTCGCTGGTTGGAAATTATCACTTCAGGTTCGACCTTATTTCATCAACAAACACTATAAACCTTAATACAGTAAAAAAAAATGTGAAAGAGTCCAGTACAGTCCAATACATGTTAAAATTCTTAAATATCTGAAGGAAACAATCCTGTCCTCACAATAAACAGCAGCATTTGTAACACAACATTAACGACAGATAAGTCCACTGATGATAAACCGATTAAAGATGAAAAAATTATTGTACGTAAATAGATGCCATGAGCTGCAACTACCAGTTTTGTATTTACGTTAGTCAATCCAACAAAAATGAAGCGAGGTTTAACAGCCCATTATGAAACGCACATGATTCATTCAGTGACATTTTCTAAAATAAGCCCTAAAGGATAAAGGATAAAGCTCTTGGCGTTGAACAATACTTGAGGGATGTGCCATGCATCCAACTTCATTAAGCATCGTTTGGAGGTGATTGAATGCATAACTGGCCTTTATAATGACTCGTGGTGGCCTGACGATGTATCGAGCCAGAGTTGCTATCCTCCTAGACAAGACTGGTACCAATCTATCGACTCCTGGGGAATGGAAGACTTGAGCAATGGGGCGGGGATCGATCATCCCGTGTGTATTGCAGAGTACCTCGGACCACTGCGCCACACGCGCCCTCTCTGAATTAGCAAATGTTACCAATGAGGGCATCTCTGCAAAGTCCATTTTCGTGAACGTCTGGAGACAAACAGCCAGTGAAATATTAACAGGTTGCAAGGAGCCTCCGACCACTGCTTCACATGCGCTCCTTGTGCACATTAGAGCTTGGAGAACGGCTTTATAAAGCGTTGAAATTCGTAATGGAAGAGTTTTGATAATGTGACAAGGAGTTCAATATTTCAACGTACAATCCATTCCAAAAAATGGAATACTTTGATGGAGTTCTGTCAGAAGAATGGATTGACAATCACTAATCATCGGTATTTTATCAGCATTAGAAAGCAGAGGGCTCCCAACTTTCAAGTTCCTTGCCGTCGTGTAGCCTTTTCGTCAATTCGAAAGCGAAAGACACTAAAATGGTCTTATTTCAAGCCATTTCCTCAACACCACTCGGAAATCTACTGCTATCATATTTCTCAAAAACGCTACGAAGCACTGTCGAAAGTACTAAAATTATTCTTTATCTCTGAGTGACTCATAATAATGACTGGAGCTTTTAAAAGAAAATTTTCAGCACCTTTCATTCGGCTGTCGTTGAAAACTTCACTTGCACTTGTTGCACCTGTCGTTGAGTGGCGAAGCTGAAAGTAGATCTGGCCAAGATCAACCTCGTCTTAAGTCTCGTCTGGTTGGCAGTTGTTCCGATCAAATGAAATGCCATATAAGCGCTGAAGAAAACGTTTATATTGCTAAACACATAATTATTACGTTAAAACGAATTCAAAATTTTATTATTTGACCGCGAAATTTTAATAAACATTAGGTAAAATCGCCGTTTTTGAGAAATATGATAGAGGTAAATTTCCTCTCAAAAATCGCCATCATTAAGTACAGGATACAGGCTTAACAAACTGGGACAAGAACTGAGGGCTCAGTATTGAAAAAAAATTTTAGGATGAAGGAGGAGAAATCGAAATTAACGAAACAAAAGAAGTTTATGTTAATATATTTATTTATGTGATCTTGTAAACTGATCTTCTTAAGCTGACGCGAGGTTGGTACAGATCTTCGTTGTCGTTGTCGTCGTTTCTGATGTTATTGATCGATGGCTGACGTTTCGGCGACTTCGCCTTCCTCAGAGCTAAGGAGATCAGTTTATAGGGATCACATAAATAAATATATCAACTATCTATGCCGAGGTTAATAGGAAGTCGGTCTTTCGAGTTATCAAGTTTATGTTAGTTCTTCGCATGTATAAAGGATCGAAGTTCAAACTTTAAACAGCAAGATAGAGTCAGTAGGTTAGCAGTGTCGCCATTGCCTAACAGTTAACATTACCTGTTTAAGAAATACTTGTTTGTGTTTCGTACGAAGAGTAATTGCAGTGGTGACTGTAGACAGGCTGCCGTTTTGAACTTTTGCGAATAAATTGACGACGTGGCCAGCCAATACGACAACAACAACAACAAGACAAATGCTTCTTATAAACAATGAGGGGCCGTCACTGTCACTGTGACCCCGCTTCTTGATGGCACTAAACCGTTGTGAATGCTCTGAAAAGACTGGATTTTCGGTTCCAACTCGAGAAAGACAACACTACAAGGTTCATCACCATTTCACAGGCGAACATCACGCCTCGTGTATGTAAACAAACTAGATCAGGTGTTTGACTGCATTATAAAGAGGCCCCCATTTACTGCGCAAGACACTTACACTGCTCTTGGCAACGGTGAGAGTCGTTTTCTAACTCGCTTCCTCATTGAATTTTCCAACAGATTTGTTTTTGAGGTTGCAGATGGGAAAAATAATGCACTACGTTGTAACCGGCATATTCGTCAGCACAGCTGTGCTGCTCTGTACGGCATTTGTCATCATTTTTGACGTTGTCAACGGAATTAAGGATTTTCATAGTGAGATCGACAAGGATCTTGACCAATTCAAGGTATTTATTTGATTTAACGAAGTTCTGCCTCTTACTGCGATCTATAAGCTCTTTCTGAAAATAGCTGTTTCCTATTTATAATTGATGATCACTGCAGCAAATCTCTAACGACGCATGGAAGATAATGATGGCAGCCGCACAAAAAGCAGAAGACCCCATACATCTCTCGGTGTTCAGCTCTACGGCTAGATTTCGAAGAGGAGGGACATATTCAACTGGTGGAGTTGGTGCTGGTGCTTACAAAGGTCCAATTCGAGGTCCCACATACACATCTACTGGAGGTTGTCAGTGTGCTGCACAAGCTTCCAGATGTCCTGCTGGTCCACCTGGTCGGTAATAAATTTTCGTTGGTAACTAAGACACTCTTCGTCGAAATGTGCACCAACGTGTTTCCAGGACCTCCAGGTCGGCCGGGTTTACCAGGAGAGAGTGGTCAACCTGGAAATGTAGGATCACAGGGCGGTATCGGCAAAACTTACGAGGCGCAACGTGGAGGAACGGGATGTATCACGTGTCCAGCAGGGCCTCCTGGACCACCTGGACCAGGTGGGCCTCAAGGGCCTGCTGGACCCCTTGGAAATCCAGGAATTCAGACAATTAGCGGAGGAGGCGGTAAGAGCAAACAAAAATGGTTTTGTAGTATCGATCAAGTGACGCTGTGATATATATGTATATATAACTTTCTAGGGCCACCCGGACCTCCAGGACTGCCAGGAGCTCCAGGATCAAGTGGAAATCCAGGTCAACAGGGAAACAGTGGACAACCTGGACAGCCAGGTCAGAAACTCTCAGCCATACTGGTGATAAAGAATAAAGGATAATTGGTGGCAAAACGTAACATACTAATGATATTCTAAGAAATCTATTTTTAGGTTCGCGCACTGTAAACCAACCAGGGCCAGCTGGACCACCTGGACCACCAGGCCCACCGGGCCAGCCTGGGCAGGTTGGTTATGGCGGAGGAAATGCCGGACTGCCTGGACCACCTGGTCCACCTGGAAATGATGGCGCTCCAGGAAGTCCAGGAAGTCCTGGTCAGCCAGGGGTTGGTGGAGTACCAGGGTCAGACGCAGCATACTGCCCCTGCCCTCCACGTATTGCTGGAGGTGGAGCTCCTGTTGAAGAACCAAGCATTGGTGTTGTGGAACCTGGGGCAGCCAGTCGTTATGAACCAAAATCGGTTGGAGGCGGTGGTGTACCTTACTCTGGAAACAGCTATGGGAAAAGAGCTAGTGTTTGAAATTGATTATATGGAGGCGGCGAAGTGGCAGTTGGTGGAGGCGGAGGCAATAACAAAAAGTTCTGTAGATCAATGAACACATTTATTTCGTAAAATTTTAATAAAGGTTTAATGCAGTGACTATGAAGACACGAGGAAATCACTACACATCAAATAAAAGCACAAAATATAGTGAAAATGTCGCCACAGAAAGTTAGTGGAGATACATGCACAATATATAAAGACTGCACCTTAAGTACAAAGCAAACGAGACCAAAACAACCTTAGTTCTCAGATCACACTTGCTTCTTCAGTATCAACCAGAATAAAACATTGCCAGGATGCCCAGTTTGAGTGCACTGTATACCAAAATTTTACGTCATCTAGTATTACCTCATTAACCCAGCGACCTGCACATTAGCCCTTCTGCGACCATATGCATTGATTTCAATATGTACGCTCCTGTACGTTTCGGACCATACATCGTGATTTCAATGCATATCTCAGTTGTGCTCCAGTGAATGATACGCTGTATAATGGGCCACCATGCGGTAATGGCCGCACTCCTGAAATGGCGGGACCTTTGTGTAATAACAACTATTCTCGATATTCCTGTTCAGTAAACACGAGGTGTTACTCTGTTCTTTATCCTGGTAAAGCTAACGTTTTGGCAGTATAGCCTTCTTCAAAGCCTGGAATGGTATATTGCTATGCAATTTCTTAAATCAAACGCTTTCATAACACAAACAGAAAGATGAAAATCCGAGTGGTAATCACGTGATCTACAAATTCTCAAAAAGCCGTTTTTTTACGTGTCTTCCACTAAGGAAGAAAAGAACAGCTAAAAACAATTCCGAGATACGAGGCTAGACCACGTGTTATCTTTCTCTGTTCCCTACTGTTCATTCTCAGATACTTCGCATTTATCCAAAAAGCCTCCAGAAGTTTGCGCGCTGGTGTTTTGGCATCTTGTGCGAGGATAGCGACCTTTATTCCAAAATCGTATCCGCTCTGCTCTTCCATCCTTTACGTCTCTAGTGGTGAACTTTGTGGTGCTTTTCGTCTGCCATCTAGGTGTTCTTTTATGCGAATACATAAAGGTCTGCCCGTTTCGCCAATATATTCGTCTTTGCAAGTATTAGAAAAGATTAGGTATGTCGTTCGTACCTGAACTCATCAAATCATCGTCCCTGCCATTATGGTAAATTACGAAATCCTCTGTTTAACATAGACGGCCGTATAAGCGGTTACAAACTAACTGACGACGGTGCTAGATTATCCGGTGCTATTTTAATTGTCGCTACCGATTCCTCTAAACCTGCCTTTCTTGAGCATCGCTTTATACCTATACTTACTTCATTGCTAATAAAGAGCAACACAAACGGAAATTTGTTTTAAGAAACAGAAAACAAGTCTTTTGTTTTGGAATGTTACCCTCTTCTAAACTTATCTCGTGGGATTACTATTTCGTAGCTATTGGAGATGGCTATTTGCCAAGCCAAGTCGCACGATTCCTCTTTTAGCTCCCAGTTTGGACACACAGAGATGGATGTTCGAAATATGCTTACCACAACCATCCTCGAAGATGCGTGCTAATTTATAGTATTCCGGTGTTCCGGTTATTTAGAGCTTCTCTACAGTTAGGCTCAACTGGCCGAGAATAAACAGTGGAGGATGTACCTCCTATATATCTTTGATCATTTTTGATATATCTCTTTGGACACTTTTCAAACGTCTTTATAAGCAATAACAGGAGAAATTGCTGCCTGCAATAAATCCAAGCATTACCGAAATACGAAATGACTAAAATTTCAGCGCCACTTGCAAATCATTTCGCTACAAATCTCTACTGAATGGTTTGAATAACTTTACAAGGCTGACCTCTATGTTGATCAGTTTATAATAGTATGAGAAAAGACATCTGTGACCTCGAATTTTTTTTCCTTATCAATCTGTCTCAGCCCTCACGTAGTTCAAAATATTTAGAATGCAGCGGTGCGGCCTATATGTCGCTTTCAGGAAAACTAGGCACAGCTAGCCATTATATTAACTACCAGATCCGTTATTTCGTTAAAGCTATTTATTGTCAATGCCAAGAAGAATTGAGCGAAAACCCTGAGAGACAACAGAGGAGAACCAATAAACCATTTTTGCTACCAAAAATACTAATGAACGCACAAAAGCCTTTCATAGCAACAAGGAGTAACTTTGTGGCCAAAACTTTTATATTTTAAGGACAGATTTTTAATAAGGAGAGTATTTTTCATAGAATATTCTCTACCTTTCATTGTGAGATCTCTTGTGTTAATCGTGTATTTGCGTTTGTTGCTCTTGTCATGTTGTAATTTGATTTCAAGTTACACGACACAACGCCCACGCGTCTGCTCTACATTGGCACTTCCTAACCATCAGGCACGCCACCGGGCATGCTTCCGTGCACATTAACATTACTTAGTGACTTGACACTATGACCTTCGACACTCTCTTGGACGGTAGTCACGTCACCTAGGAGTGCCACTTGTCTTCAGAAGACGCGTGAAGATCGCGGTCGCCCTACTCATCACTTTTTCTCTCTCATAACCTCCTCCATACACAACTCCTTCGACTTATTTAGAACAAGATTAGTATTAAATAAAGCTTCATACTCTTGTCTCATCATCATATTGCTGTTATGGTCAATCCTAATCTAATCACTATGCGTTGCTAATCTTGCGGCTGTCTCAAATTATTCCACTTTTTATAAGTACGATACAAAAGTCACTGCTGCAACATCAAGCCATTTACTTGCATTTCCACTACGGCCAAATACGTCGATATTCGAAGGACTCCATCACGCACGCGCTGTTGGGCTGCGCAGTACGTAGACGATCCAGAAACATCTGGGTATTCGTAAGATGGGCTGGAATATGTTTCAACAACTGGTTAAATATTAGGGTTAAAAACCATGTTATCTTGTCCGTTACATGTATGGCTTCAAGATAGAGCACTTGATGGCACTCTTAAAAGAATGCTTGAGCTGCTCAATCTTCAGATGGTCCGGAAAGTACTGCGCTCAAATAAGAGGGTTGGCAATGGAACAACGACTGGCCCCATGTGTAAAGCTGTGTTCAGTGTGATTGAAATCTTGGTTTAGAGTTTCTTTGTTTGGTTATGGAGGCGTCTGGCCGGGTAGATTGCTATCAACGTAACCTTTCCAGGCTCTGAGGAAGGCGAAACCCGCCGAAACGTCAGCTTATTCGTGAATAAGGAATAATAACACCTCGCGTTTGCTCAAGAAAAATACGAAGGCAATGAGACAATATGGTTGGTAGCGCGTGTGCGTTACTGTAGCAGGCTGCGGTACTAATAGTGAGGAATGCTGCCGAATAAAATGCAACAATAACAATGCAATAAGATTAATGTGGTAGTAGAACGCATATAAATGGAATATCTTCAATGTACGTCTTGTTATTACGACGGCAAGATATATAATGTGCATGGTTAGCGCTGCTTATATTTATGGAGTACGTAACCACTGAGTTCTACAGTGTGAGATGAACCAGGAAGGTGAAGACTAAGGCAGCGTTTAAGCGAGTGAGATCTTAATATATAACGAAACTATGTACTGTTTCTTAACAATTGAAGATGCAAAGTGATGATGATAGGCTTAGATGGGTAAGGTCAGTAGCTTCAAAAGAAATTCCCTACAATGAAGTACGGTAGAACAATTTCATGACAAAAGCCGAGCGGGGATGCCGACTGGCAGGAATGTCGACGTGTGAGCCTCACCAACTGCCCGCGGTCATTTTATACTGCCTCGAGAGTGGGCTGATGTTTACGGTTGTTGGCCACTACACCATTCTCGGATATCACTATTATAGCGAGAAATGTTTTTTATAGGGCGTAAACATTATTCTTTTCCATCTGGTGTTAAAGGTATATGGTATTTTTAATACTATCATATCCTTTAATCTATACAGCCGCACCTTGCGGACAGATGTTTACGGGCCGGACTGTTTATCGTGGGCGGTGTGCTATTGTTATTATCGTTGTAGCTTTGGGTTATATCTGGCTAGGCAACCACCTCTATCAAAAAGCATAGAATAAGGCTACTCTAGAAAATTTTGTGTTCTGTCAGAAGATGCTTGTTGGTCGACCTGCCCACAGTGTTATTAACGTTGTATTAGTATGGTGTTTATACAAAGGCTATTTAATGTCTTCTATTTATACATACATAGTTAACAGCATCAGCAACCTTTCTACTGCAAACGCGTTATTGCAGTACCGCCGTATTGTAGCAGTACATGGGGATCGCCACTCAGTTCAGTCCGTTTTTTCCGCTGCGCATCGCTAGTGTTGAACTGCTGAAGCTATCATGACTCCAAGCAATCCAACCTCATCCCATCTACTCCCTTCAATGAAGCATCCAAAAGGCTCCATGTGGGCGAAGGCAGGAAGAAGATAATTTCGAATAAACATTCTTCCAGCGAACCAAATGATTCATTCACACCTGGGACCTTCTAGAGTAGCATCCTTATATTGCAGTTCATTCCCATCTACGCCGATATCATGACACAGATCCCTCTTCGAGAGTTGAACATTGCAACTATCACGCCGCAACGACTGTTCAACTAATCAATCACAGCACTAATTATTCTTACACAGAAACACTACAAAACTGTGGCGCATCGATCACTGCAATCATTGTTTCAATCGTCGGTCACCACCATGGCGTATACCACTTCACGTAAGTAGAAGGCGCACCCGAGAAAACAGGACTTTGGAGATAAGAGACGCCGTCGAATATGCCAAAACGAGGAAAACAAGGTGAGGCCAAGCACTAATGCACGTGCTGTGCTCCATATAGCGCAAGGAGAATTGCGATACAATAATCGTCACGATTATTAAATTTCGTTAAGGCACTAATGTGATTTTCCTTGGTCCTTCCAGCAGGTAGAGCCGATGAGACTAATTCGGAGCGTTATAGGAACAAATGTAGAGCTTAATGGCCTCGCTGGAATGTTTTTTTAATCAATACGAAG